CAATACTATACTATTCTTTTTATTATCAGTATCGTTTGGTATCGAAGTGATACTGATAGTGTCAACATTGACACATAAGCGATACCATACGATACGAGACCATTCTTTTTGGTATCGACTTATGTGATATCTAGTATCTAGTTTGAATAACTTGCTATTTAATTTTAATTCAAACTAGTATTATTGAATAGAAGGCGCGGATGCAGCATTTTTCGATGTTTGAGATACCTAACTTTCAGACATATAGCAAACTCCAAAAATTTATGTTTATGCATACACTGAGGCATATTCGTTTAGACGCATCAATTTTTTTCTCGTAATCTTAATTTTTTTCTATGAATTGTCAACTGATATGCATGCAAGTTATTATCAAAATAATCGTTGTGTTGTGGGCTAATAAAAATCACAAAATTTTTTTTCTGTGTGTCTTTATTAACATGAGAGTATATTTGATATACAAAAGTACATTTTTTAATTGGAATATATCTATAGACGCAGTCATATTTTTGACATTAAAAGATGGAAATTAGTAATGCGTATGTCCTCCATTACACTGGATCACCTCAAAAATTCTACCTTTCATTGACTCCACTAGTTGTTGAAGTGTAGTTTGATCCAACTCGGACCATGCTTCAAGGATTTTACACTTTAACTCAGTAACAGTTTTAAATTGGTGTCCAGCTGCTTTAGCGTCATAAACTTTTCTTGCAAGCATTCCCCACACGTTCTCGATTGGATTTAAGTCCGGGCTACTAGCTGGCCATTCGAGAACCGGGATGTTGTGGTCTTTAAACTATTTCATAGAATGCCTAGATGTGTGAATAGCAGCATTATCTTGCTGAAATATGGTATTATCGTCCATGTTTTCATCCATATAAGTTATGAGAACATCATCCAATATTTCTGTATACTTTATCGAGTTCATTTTAGGTAAACCACAACACAGAGTCAATTTTCCTGAATAAGAAAATCCACCCTAAACCATTAAACTTCCTCCACCATAATTTTGTTTTGTTTGTGGGTCATTTATTTCTCTTAGATCATGCCAGTAACAATTGTAAGAGTCCGGACCATCTAAATTGAACTTTTTTTTATCTGAAAATATTACGTTTTGCCACTCATGAGTCCAATGCATATGGTTTTGAGCAAACTGTAATCTAGCAATTTCATGGTGTTTTTTTGACATTGGTTTTTGGTATGGTTTCTTCCACTTTACGTTTGGTGTTGTACATAGAATATTTGCAACATGTTTATTAGTGACAGACAATAATAATTTATCCTTTTTTTGTGTTGCATTCAATTTATTTTTGGTTGCTTCAAAGCGAATTCGATTAATTTGCCGATTTGTTAATACTTCGTTGCCGTTTGTTGCTTTTTTTACACCGTAATTGTCACCTTTTGCAATGTAGTTTCGTACAACATGGTCAGATCTTCCGATATTTCTTGCTATTTCTCGTATAGAAAGTGCTGGTGAGATTTCTGAGCCACAATATAAATTAATTTGTATTTTATCAGCATCTGTCAAATACTTTCCTTTAGGCATTTTGTAAAATGCAATAAAAATGATACTGGCAGAGCAAAAGATCAAATTACACTAAAATTTATCAATTTATTTGTGTAAAAGTGATTAAAAATCAATACTTACCTTTATTAACCTGATTGCGTCTATAGATATATTCCAATTAAAAAATGTACTTTTGTATATCAAACATACTCTCATGTTATTAAAGACAATAGAGAATAGAAAAAAATTAAGATAAAGAGAAAAAAATTGATGCGTCTTAATGAGTATGCCTCAGTGTATATCAAATAAGGATGCTCTAAGAAAAATTGCAATGATTAGAGCCTGGGAACAAAAAAAACCCTAAAAGTTTAGCTACACCTGCACCAAACGTGAGAGCAATAAAATGATAAAATAATTTCTATATTATTCTTAACTAAATATATAACTTGTTGCTCTCACATTTGGGGCAGGTGTAGCTAAACTTTTAGGGCTTTTTTGTTCCAAGGCTTCAATCATTGCAATTTTTCGCAAATCATCTTTATTTAATATAAGTATAAACATAAATTTATGTAGTTTGCTTCATGTCTGGAAGTTAGGTATCTTAAACATCTAAAAATGCTGCATCCACGCCTTCTATTCAATAATATCAACTTGTTGCTCTCACATTTGGGACAGGTGCAGCAAAATTTTTAGGGCTTTTTTGTTTTTAGTCTTCAATCATTGCATTTTTTGCAAAGCATCTTTATTTGATATGAGCATAAACATATGAATCTATGTAGTTTGCTTCATGTCTGGAAGTTAGGTATCTCAAACATCAAAAAAAGCTGCATCCGTGCCTGAATAGGAGCAAATAATGTCTATTCAAGATTGAAATGTTAAAAAACTAGAATAAGTATGACTGCACCAAAAAATAAAAAAATAAAAAAAAAAAGTATTGTTATTACAAATAACAATACTTGAAAACAAGTATTTTTATTTGTAATAACAATACTTTTGTTTTTTTCAATTGCATAACTTTTATATTTAGTTGCAACCAACTTTAAAAAGATAAAGATCATGATGTAATAGAACAAATAAAGATAGCCTGCTTGTCAATGATAGTATTTTTAAAGAAGTGAAAGAGACATAATCTTATGATCATGGGACAGTTGCTTAACTTGGCAGATAAAGGAGGTCCAACAACATTTACAATACAAATTAGGACCATGTTTAAAATGAATAGAAACCAGCTTAATATAAGTATTTCAGTATTTCTTAATATAAGTATTTCAGTATTTCATACTGTACAAAGAAAAGAAATAAAGATAAAGAAAAGTTTTATAGTAGTAGAGAATGAAATAAAGAGTAAAAAAATGATGTGCACAATAAAGAGTGACAACTTAGCATATGCTAAGTTTGCAATAGATTATTTAAATTATCATGAGAGTCATAAAAGGTGAAGGATAGTAGTAGAGAAATGTGATGAGTGTGATGTAGAGAAGTGTGTAAAAAGAGATGTTTTGCCATTCATCAATCGTTTTGCCATTCATCAATAAAGGAATATCAAGAGTATTGTTGTAATTATTAGCAATAAACAACTGGTTTTTGTTTGAGTTATAGTTCAGCATCCATTGTTAGCCCCAAGCTGTCACAGAAGAGGATCAGATTTAAGATTAGCTTTCTGTTCTGTGTGATCAAAATGTTATTACTTTTTGTCAAGGTTGGAATATATAGTTATACAGAGCTTAAAACTACAAAATTTATATAATATATATTACCATCTTAATTAGCACCAATCAAATTTTCTTTGTGATTTAGTTGTGTCATTAAAAATTTCTTTAGAGATTATCAGAAAGATCATCAATAAAGAACAACATATGACCATTGATATTTTTATCAAGGTTAGAGTATATAGTTGTGTCATTAACAATTTCTTTAGAGATTATCAGAAAGATTATCAATAAAGAACAATATGACCATGGATAGAATCTTGTTATAACCTCAAAAGTTAATAGGTTTGAAGGAGAGTGTTGTCTACTAAGGACAACTTTAATAGTGTGGTTAGAAAGTAATGATTCAAAATATTACCAGACCTAGACTTTAAAGGTCAAATCTTGAGATTAAGTGAATGATTCTAGGATTTTAAGATCCCAAGATTCTGAAAACTATTATTAATAGCCTCTATTAAGTTTTTCTTGTATTTTCCTTATTCTAAATTTCCATTCATATTTTGGCAAGTGCTTTTTAAAAATAGTTAACATTCTGTCTATAAATTAGTAGTAACAACTTACAAAAATATAAATATTGATGTAAGTTAACATTTTAAAATGGAAATTTATTAATTGAAGTAAGATATTATTGTCTTACAATTTTCTAAAAATTAGATTTAAAAAAGAAATCAAAAATCAAAAAAAATAACTATAATATAATTATATTTTAAAATATGTAAGCATTGCCGTTTACTGAAACAAGTTTTATTTTTAAAAAGACCTTTGTATAGAAAATTGATATAAAATCAACTATCAAATTGATATAAAATCAAAATTTGAAGTTTTTCTATCTTGTAAAATAAATTCAAGATAAATAGTTAATTAGTGTACGACATACTCTAAAAAAGATAAATTATAATGATAATCTGATAATATTAATACGCTAATTTAGTAGTAGTAGTTAATAGTCGACTTACGTCATTTTCTAGGCTTTTCTATTTTAAAGTAGTTTCTAGGCTTTTCTATACGCGGTTGTTTTTTTTACTAACAACCCGTATTACGGGTTACTTACTGCTAGTAATAAATAAACTTTTCATAATAAACCTCCTCTAGATACTTAGATAAAGAGCATTTATTGCGGCAAGAGGAAACTGTCTTTCTAACTGTCTGCTTAAATCATTTGATGTATTTACTATACCCATCTATATTTTAGTGTGATGTCATTAGTGTCATTTTATATGGAGCTGATTCCAAATTATTATATACCCTACATATTCATGTTATACAATGAAGGATAAAATTCAATAAATACAGATGTATTAAAACTTTTTTTTAATAGATTTTTATTTATAGAAACAACTACAACACCAATAGAAACAAATACAAATTTTCATATGTTGACATTTAAATTGAGAAAAAAGCTTTGGTAGTCACGTTATCACGCTATCCCTATTATGAACTCTCCCAGCACTTCAAACTTAGACTTTGCATATTTCATTATTGTAAAACAATGAAGCACCAACCTTTAATTACCGCCCCTACCAACTTTTTTTATTAATAACATTTCTTTATTAAATCCTTAAGTGATTAAAAAATAAAAATAAGTAAATTTTTTGGTTGTTTTGGGTGTAAAGACCGATTGCAAGAAATATTAAAATTATTGCTTCCTGTTTATGTAGATTTTATGTTTTTTAAACAGACATCTAAATAGATTCTTCATTATAGATTAGTAGGGTAGAGCGGGGCTAGTTGAGCATACATTCATTGTTTTTATGTTTCCTAAATTTATATGCATATTATATTATTAGAAGATGCAGAATACATACTTGAAAAAGATTATAATCTCGTGGCTATGCCAAAAGGACCGTTAACTTTTGAAGAAGTTGAAAATTTTCGTAATGTAAAATAGACTCTAATAATACTTGAAATGAATTATTGTAAATAATTTTGTTTTATTATTTAATTTTGTAGTTTTTATTTATATTTATAGGCAGTTTCATTATTTTTTTATTGTAAATTTAGCGAATTTTATTATTGAACAATTATTAAGTAAACAAACTCGTTGTCGACTTGTCGACTGTCTGTCGTTGTCGACTGTCTATTTTATGACGGCCCGACCGTGAAACCTTTTAGATTAGTAGGGTAGAGCGGCGCTAGTTGAGCATACAGGCATGTTGGGCAATTAAAATATCTCAAAACCTACGCATTACATGACAAAACATTTAATGAATGAAAGTTAGGGAATTAGAATGTTAACACAATGCGCAACATTATTGCACTTTTTCTATTTTGGACCAAAAAAGTAAAAAAAAAATTTTTTGCTATTTTTCTCTTACGAGGTCATCCATAAAGGACGTCATCCAAATGGGGGGGGGGAGGGGGTTGAGTTAAAAAGGACAAGGGGAGGGGGGAGGTTGTCAGAAATGAACGTATATAGACTTTTTATTTTACTTTAATTAACGTGGAAAACTACGTAAACATGTGTTTTTGAGAAGATAATGTAAGAGAATAATATACACCTTTGAAAAATAAAATTTTATTTTTATTTTTCAAAGGTGCAGCAGCAGATTCAAACATCATTGCAAGATGAAATAAATTTTTTTGGAGTTAAAAATAGGGAAGGGGTCAGGATTTTATGACGTCTTTTTCCAGGGGGTATAGGGAAAAAGGACAACCGATGACAAAAGGGTCAAAATTGGCTAAAAAATGGTGACGTCCTTTATGGATGGCCCCTAGATGCTTATAAATTATTTTATCTGAAATCACTTGTGTTGATATTTAACAATTTATTGGACTATCGATTAAAAGTACCCGTTTTTTCATAAGTTTCACTGTTCTTTTTAAAACCTAACTAATGTTAGGTTTTGAAGAGAACAATGTCACCTAGTAGAGTAGGGGTTGAGCAACTTAGAAAAAAGTAAATAAAACTGAACTTTGGAACACAAAGAAGAAACTTTGATAAAAAATAATTTAAGGTTCATTATTTATATATATTTTTAAAATTACTAATTTTTAAATCGGGCTTAAAAAATCAAGATAATTGTATAAAATAATATTTTTATATTATATGACGCTATTTTACTATTTTATTTTTTCGCTTCTTTTACCTGCGTCATTAAAGTGTATAAATAAAAAAGTTTATAAATTATAAATGATTACTGTTAGTGAAAGTTTTATAGATGATTCACCCAAGTTTCGCACCATGCATATTCATTTGTTGATTGCTCAACTTACCCCCCTGGGGCAGGTTGAGCAGCTCCGCAAACTTTAGGCAATATCTTTTTATAAAAATTAAAAATATACTTTTTTCTTAACAAATTATTTCAAATAGTGAAAAAATTATGTATATTCGACGCACCGTTCATGAGATTTGTTAGATTTAGTAAAAATTGCTCAACTAATCCCGCTCTACCCTAAATAACTAAAAAAATATTCTATTTAGTTTTATTATTATTATTATTATTAACGGGTGTTGCTTCAAAATTTGAGCAGCCGTGGCTTAGTGGCTAGAGTTCTGGCTCAGAACCCAAAGGTCCGGGGTTCGACGCCGGCTCTAGCCCAATAAACGACATTGGTAGGAAGGAGGCGCGAACTTCCAGTTAAATGCTCTCCCGCGGTGCTCCGTGATAAGACCGCAATGACCTCTGGGAGCACCTAAATAACATTAAAAAAAAATTAAGAATATAAACAGAAAAATCTGACCCTAGGTGCTTCTAAAAAGGTACCCTGTATCTCATTTAATCTCATTTAATTCTAACCTTTATAATTACTTTGTTAACAAAAAATAGCATTCATTAGTACTAATGAATACTATTTTTTGTAAAAAAAATGGTATTCATTTTGTACTAATGAATTCCATTTTTTGTTAACAAGTATTTATAAAGGTTAAAATTAAATTATTAGAATATAAAATTATAGTTTATAAAATTATAGAATATAAAATATATAGTTAGAATATAAAAACGCTTTTCTGGTCCGCGCATGATTCCGCTTCAAACTTAATTTTTTTTGATAACATTCTATAATGATGTTATCAAAAAATAAAAAAAGACTCATGTACGGACCAGAAAAATGAAATTTAGTTACTAAATCAATAAATTTGAGTTCCTCAGAAATATATAAGTTTCAGCGGTATACGTTTATGTTTTTTTTAAATAATATTTTTAATATTAGATTTCCAGAAAGTTACAGGATTGCACTTAGTATCTAAGTCAAAGCAATCGTTTAAATGCAGTTTATGTATGGTCGTAGACAAAAGTTGTAAATTTATCGAATTTATGTAGTTATTTTTATAAAAATAAATTACTTGTAAGTATTTAGTGTGAAATATTATATCTCTATTAACATAAAATTTAATATAACATTAATATGACATATTTAATAAATTTTCGATAAGAAATAGCAGTTGTAAATTATTTCTTGCTTGAGTATGGCGTTTAGAAAATTATCGTATATTTTTAAACTATTGAGACATTAGTACGCACACAAAAAACGATAAAAATATACATATTTAAATATTCAGGTAGTCTAAAATATAAGAAAAAATATTTTTATTAACGTTGTTCTTTAAGAAAATCATAATAGCATGCATATTGATATAAGCTCCAGCTATTAATAATATTAGAGTAGGGTTGGGCTAGTTGAGCAATTTTTAACAAATCTAACTAATCTCTTATAGCCCTGTCAAATTAGGTTTTGACCCGAAAAAAAATTAAGAACAAATTGAAAATTGCTGAAAATGTTCTGTATGCACTCCTGATTCATATTTAAAAAAACGGCTGAAATTTGGAATGGAGCTAAAATCCAAGATGGCATCCAAAATATAATTTGTTACATCTGTGCTTGTAGATCACCTAGAAACATGATTCTTGTTTCTACTATTTCGTTTGTGAGGTCAAGAAATTAATTTTTATTTTAATTTTTATCTTACTTATAAATGTATACATGAATTAAAGTTAATTGTATGTAAAATATATAATGAGGAAATAAATTGTATCAAAAAAAAATAAAAAATTTCCAACCTCTTTAATTTTATGAAAAAACAAAATGGTTATCAAAATCCAAAATGGCGGTAAAAAAGGCATTTTTGATATATTGAACATTTCAAAAAATTGAAATGTTCAATTTCTCTGCTTGTTGATCAAATTGTTCAATTTTTGCGTTTAACTTATGTTTTTCAGGTTTGAAATTCATTTTTCACAAATTTATTTTTGTATCAAAACAAAATGGCTGTCAATATCCAAGATTATTAGATATCATAAAAATCAATTTCCAAGATTATTAGATATCACAAAATATCCAAGATTATTAGATGTCATAAAAAAATCCAATATCCAAGATTATTAGATATCAGAAAAAATCATTCACTCATAGTGATGGGTGAACTCAACGCAGACCTATTAAAACCAGATGTAAATCCAGGCAAAACTCTAATGAATTCACTTAAACTAGCTGCTATAAAAGTGGACAATATACAACCAACCAGAGTAACCAAAACAACCTCAACATGCTTAGATATAATTGCTGTAGACGAACAGTCTTTAGAAAATGGAGTTTTTTCATTAATTTGGAAAAAAACTCATATTAGCCCAATATGAAAAAGAAAAGGTAGAAAAAATGACGCAGCTAACTATCGACCAATCTCTATATTGCCTATATTCGGTAGGGTTTTTGAAAAATTGGTAGCCATACAACTCTCAAGTTTTAATGATAAGTATCAACTTATTCCAAAACAACAATTTGGATTCAGGAAATTCTCAGGAGTTGAAACTGCTATACTCACAGCTACAAACACATGGTATAAATCAATTGATGACGGTAAATATGTAGGTGTCCTATTAATAGACTTATCCAAAGCCTTCGATAGTGTACCACATCAAGAACTTTTAAATGAACTGTCCAAAATGGGTATAAGAGTCAAAGCAGGACAATGGTTTTCTAATTATCTCGAAAATAGAATACAAAGGGCTAAGAATGGTAAAAAATTTAGTTCATGGAAACCAATCGGTAAGAGTGTCCCACAAGGAGGTGGACTTAGCCCGGAATAATTCAACTCTTACACAAGAGAACTCCCAACTTCTTTAAAATCAGAAATATATCAGTTTGCTGACGATATAACCGTATCTGAAGCTGACCTATCACTTCAAGTAATTGCAGAAAAATTAAAAAAATTGTTCCAGGATACAAAAGATTATTGTGAAAAAATGACTATAAACACAGATAAGTCCCAATTAATTATTTTCAAACCACCCAGAAAGCAAATACCTCCTGACTACCAAACTCTATTAGATGAAATAGCAATAAAGCCTGAAAACAATGTAAAATTATTGGGAGTAACATTAAACCAGCATCTGACTTTTAAACAGCAGGTCGAGTCGGTAATAAAAAAATGCCACTCTTCCCTGGGAATGTTGGCAAGAGCATCAGCAAGCCTACCAAAAAAATTATTAAAGTTGGCCTACAACGGAATGGTGCTTAGTCATATGAAATTTATTATTTCATTCTATATTTCAATACCAAACACCCATATAAAAAAATTAGACGTAGTACAAAAACAAGCCGCGAGAATCATTTCCCATGCACCACGAAATTCCCATGCTGCACCATTAATTAAAGAACTTGGTCTTAAAGCACTAGCGGATCGAAGAACGGATCATGCAATAAAAATAATTGAATCAGTTGTTAAAGGAAAATGCCATCCTACTTTAAATGAACTTATCCAAGTAAATAATGAAGGTCTTTTAAAAATAGCAGTATCAAAAAATACATATGGTGAAAAAAGATTTTGTGTCTCTGGAGCCATTCTGTACAATAAAGAATACAAAAAAAAAATTATAAAACAACAAAAATACAAAAAAATATAAAACAACAAAAATGCAAAAAAATATAAAACAACAAAAATACAAAAAAAAAATTTTAAATTTCGAGCAGCGGAAGAATGAAGTCAAATAAAATAAATTACAA